CCGGGCTCCTTGACTTGGCATGGGACTCACCGCCAGACCCAACAAGACGCCCGGTGAGAAGCCTCTGTGTCAGGAGGCAGAGGAACAGGGAAGGTGGAGCTGGAAATAGTTTCAGATCACTTTAAAATTTCCCTCTATTTTATTTCCCCCTTTCCTTTTCTGTCCGTTCAAAAGGAAGTTAACCTGTCAGTTGACTCTTGAACAATACAGGAATTAGGAGTGCTAACCCCTCACACAGTCAAGAGTTCACATAGAACTTCTGACTCCCCCAAAACTTAACTATTGGGTTGGCCAAAAAGTTCATTTGTTTTTTTTCCTGTAATATGGTTCTAATAGTGCTTAGTTTTGTGTAGCCATTTTAATATTGAAGATGGAAGAAAATATGCAACATTTTGGCATATTATATTTTATTATTTCAAGAAAGGTAAAAACGCACTTGAAACACACCAAAAAAAACAATCTGTGCAGTATATGGAGAAGGTGCTGTGACTGATAGAATGTGTCAAAAGTGCCTTGTGAAGTTTCCTGCTAGATATTTCTCGCTGGATGATGCTCCACGGTCAGGTAGACAGGTTGAAGTGATAGCAATCAAATTGAGACATTAACTGAGAGCAATCAGTGTTCTACCACATAGGAGATAGCCAACATACTCAAAATATCCAAATCAATAAAGGCATTGGTGAAAATGAAAACTATGTCCTTTATTTTATGGAAAAAACTTAACAGACTTTTTGGCCAACTCAGCACTAATAGTCTACTGTTGACCAGAGGCCTTACTGGAAACATAAACAGTCAATTCACACACATTTTGTATGTCGTATATGTTGTATACCTTATTCTTATTAAAAAGGTAAGCTACAGAAAAATGTTATTAAGAAAATCATAAGAAAGAGAAAATATATTTATAGAGTATTGTATACATTTGTTGAAAAATAAATCTGTGTATAAATGGAACTGAAAAGTTTGAACCCGTGCCGTTCAAGGGTCAACTGCATTTTACTGCCTTGGGAGTGTGTGGCAGCAAAGAAGCAGAGCTTGTGTGCACACTTTTGGGTTCTGTTTTTCAAAAGCCTGAGCCCTTAGGAGATTGTAGAGGCTAGAGATGGAACAGGATGGCTGGGGGAAGCATGGGCGACAATAACGGAGCTCACAGGTCCCAGTGCAAACAAAAGGACAGCGTCCTTTGTTCATAAGTCATTAAGAATTTTACCAGGCCAAAGCATTAAGCCATTATGAGGATGCTCTGAGCTTGGGGCACAGTGTGAATGTGCAGGTTCATACCCACGAAGCTGGCCCTGGACAGGGTGTCCCCAGTGTCAGAACAGAAGATTGCCCCCGGAGCTGGCTGAAAGGACAGAAGAGCCCACAGGATTGGAAGCAGTGAGGACCTGGGGCTGACCCCTGGGTAGCACTGATGGGCACCGATCAAGCAAGACCCCAGAAAGGAAGGCCTGGGAAATGCATAGACTCTACACATGAGGTTCCCAGGCTTAGCAGATTTCTAGTCCTTGAAAGTGTCTCGGAAGCAGCAAAGAGCACACACCTGAAGGGATCTGCAGAGCGGAAAATCAGAAGGCCTGGCTTTGGGTACAGATGATGAATAGTCAGAGCCCCCTTAACATGCTTTGCTTCTTTATAAGTCTCAGACCCTGGAACAGAAGGCAGGGCAAGGCGGAGGCATGACCCATGATTCACATCAGTTTTCAGTCATCCTGGAAGAATGAAGGCTTACGGTCAGAAACAGACTCGTTTCAATTCATAAAAATGAGTGAGGTGCACTACCTCTGGCACACCCATATTTGAACACCAAGACTCTACCTGCCACAACCGAGGTCCAGCTCCAGGCTCATGCCTGTGCCCAAGCCTCAGCGGGCATCAGGTAGAGGCCACTGCAGTTATCCAGGTAAGAGATGAAGCTTGGGCCAGAGTGGCGAGGTGGTCCAGATGGATAGAGGATAGGCAAAGGAAGTATCGTGAATTACTCCCCACTGCTGGTATGAGCAATTGGCTAGATGGAGGTTCCATTTCTGAGATCAGGAGTAGAAGAGAAAAACCAGTTCAGGGGAAGGTGGGATGAGTTTTTCTGAACATGGTGGGTCTGAAATACCCAAGAGATGCCATACAAGCCACTGAAACTATGATGTAAAGCTTAGAGAAGTCCAAGCTAGAAGGATACACTTGGGAGTCAGTCATCAGCCTTGTGGGGGGTCACTGAACAATGGGTGTGGATGAGCTTCCAACATAAACAGTAGAGAGAGAAGAGGGCCTGGGCACAGCCTGAGAAGCCCAACATTTAACGGCAGGCAGAAGAGGGTGCACCTACACAGGCAAGTCCGAGAGGAAAGGAGGAGGCAGTGGGATGCTCCCAGGAGGTCCAACACATTGACAACTTGAAAATGCCCATTGAATCGAGTCATGTGGGAGTTACTGGTGATTTGGAAAGGAATCCCTTCGTTGGTGAGATGAGCTTGGAATTCCAAAAGGAGAGAGTGGGGGAGGGGTGAACAGGCGGCAGAAACACAGAAGTGGGGGCACAGACAAGCTCTGGTGCTGACTGTGAAGAGGAGAAAAAGAGGCCATTGTTGGCAAGAGAAAACAGAGGGACTGAGGAAGGATGATTAGTTTTTTATTATTATCATTATTATTTTATTTCAACAGCTGTGCCAAGGCATAACTAACATACGATAAGCTGCACATGGGTAAAGGGTAACAATATGAAAAGTTCTAACATATGAATAGACTTGTAAAACCACCACCATAGTCAGGTATATTTTTCACTCCCCCAAATTTTCTTGTTCTCCTCTCCTGCTTCCCTCACCCCCATATACAGGCATCTGCTGGTCTGCTTTCTTTCCTATAGTTGGCAATTTCTAGAATCTTCTATAAATGGGGATTTTATCCTTTTATCTTCTTAAAATGTACTTTTTTGTCTGACTTCTTTCACTCAGCATAATTATTTTGAGATTTATCTATATTGTTGCATGCACCAATAGTTGAGTTTTTTAAAGATTTTGTTTATTTAATTTTAGAGAGAGGGCAAGGGAAGGAAAAAGAGAGGGAGAGAAACTTCAGTATGTGAGAAAAGCGTGATCAGTTGCCTTTCACACGCCCCCAGATGGGGACCTGGCCTGCAACCCAGCCATGTGCCCTGACTGGGAATCAAGGTAGCAACCTTTTTGTTTTCAGGCTGGCACTCAGTCCACAGAGCCACACCAGCCAGGGCAAGAGTTCATTCTTTAATTGATGAGTAGTTTATATTGTAGGGCAACACCATCGTTTGTTTATCCACTCAATTATTGATGGATATTTGAGTTGTTTCCAGTTTGACAAGATTACAAATTAAGCTGCTTTGAACCCTCATGCACAAGTCTGTACATGCTTCCGTTCTCTGCAGTAGAACACTGGGAGTGCAATGGCTGGGTGCATGTTTGATTTTTAAGAAACCATCAGACTTTTCCAAAATGGTTGTGCCATTTCACCTACCCATCAGCAGTGTGTGAGGGTTCCAGTTTCTCCACATCCCTGCCAACATTTGGCATGGACAATCTCTTAGATTGTCAATATTCTAGTAGCTTCTCCCCTTTTTCTACCTCTATCCTATTTGGGGAAAAGATAATGAGCAAGGAAATAGCCACGTATAAGAAGACAGAGGGACTCCCATCTCAGTGCTAACCAGGCCCAGCCCTCCTTAGCTTCTGAGATCAGATGAGACTGGATGTGTTCAGGCTGCTGTACCCAGCAAAGCTGTTCTTTAGAATCAAAGGGCAGGTAGAGAGCTCCCCAGACAAGAGAAAACTAAAGGAGTTCATCATCACCAAACCATTATTATACAAAATGTCAAAGGGACTTATTTAAGAAAAAGAAGAAGGTCAAAACTATGAACAATGAAATGGCAATAAATACATATCTATCAGCAATTGAATCTAAAAAAGCAAACTTAGCAAACAAGAAGAACAGAGACAGAACCATGGATAGAGAGCATTTTCATGGTTGCAAGATGGGAGGGCGGTGTAAGGGACTGGGTGAAGAGGTGAGGAGATTAAGAAGCATAAACAGGTAGTTACAGAATAGCCACGGGGAATAAAGCACAGTATAGGAAATGGAGCAGCCGAAGAACTTACACACATGACCCCTGGACGTGAACAATGATGGGAGGATTGCTTAAGGGAGTGGGAGGTGCAGGGGGAGGGGGGAAAAGGGAGAAAAATCGGGACAACCGTAATAGCATAATCAATAAAACATAATTTAAAAAGAAGAATAAGAAGGTCGAGGGAGAAGACAAGGCGAATAAGAAGATAAAATCAGCCACTGTCCAGGGCATCCACACAGCCTGATTAAGACTGAGAGGTTTTCCTGACTCTGTCTGTGGGGACTAGCAGAGTTTCCAGTGAATGGTTCTTTCCTATGGATCATTCGGTCAACACATCAGCTTACTGCCTTCCAAGCCAGGCCCCCGGCCTGAGACAAGAGTTCCACAGGGACCTCAGCTGTGGAAGGCTCCCCCCGGGCCACTGCAGAGAGGAAAAGTGGGGAAGGTAGGGTGAGGAGAGCCCGCTGGATCGTGGTTTCCCCCAGAGCCAGTGGGTAAGGACAGATCATGGCATTTCTCTGTCTCCCGAGAGAAGATGCAGGGTTCAGGGGAGCGGGGAGGGGAGTTTCCAGACCAAGGCTGCAGTCATTCCACAGTGGAAAGGACAGCTTGTTCCGCTGAGGAATTCATCCTGCTCGGCCCTGAGAGAAGCATGTCCCCTCTATTAACTTGGCCAAGAGGTGTCAATGTATAAGCACAGGCGTTAAGGAGGGTTAAAACACGTCGGGGGCCTTCAGGGATTATGAACAAGTAAACTGTTACATAACAGATTTTTGGTCAAAGTTAAGGCCGTCTCTAAAATCATCTACACATTCTAAGAGCACAGGAAGGTCAGTTATGATTCTGAGTTTCAGGAACCAAACATTTATACCCTTAACATGAATGTGTAAAAGAATCCAAATCACAATACCTGTAGCTGCTGGGAAAAACACCCCAAAGACAGTGGAAAAAGACTCCCCTGGGCTGTAATCTGGCAGAGTGTTGTTCCACAGCAGTTCCGGGGAATATCCGATAAAACCGTGTTCTGAAAGACACGCAGGAGAGCACAGTGAGCCAGGAGCTGAGACACGGCACAGGCCTCCCTAGATCACAGTGCTGTCTTCTGACGGGGGCACCTTCCTCCCCACGTCCAGGCTTGCCCTGTGTGTCCGTACCTGTAGATGCACGTAGGTGCGATGACATGAAGGAGAAGTTACTTCTGGGAATGAGAACACTGGCACTTGTTTTGCTTATGGATTCCAGTATAGCTGAAATCTTTCAATGAGCATGTGTATGTTTGCTTTTAATTAAAAAAATTAAGCTACCTCACCCTGGCTCAGTTGGTTGAGTGTCGTCCCATAAACCAAAAGGCTGGGGGTTCGATCCCTGGTCAGGGCACACACCTAGGTTGAGGGTTTGATTCCCAGTCTCTCTCTCTCTCTTTTTCTCTCTCTGAAAGCAATGAAGAAATGTCCACGGGTGACAATAAAAAGATAATAAAAATTAAGCTACCTTCCTGCTCAGAAACCTTCCCGTGAGTCCCCATTAGTTACAGAATAAAGTCCAAAGTCCTTTTGATGAATATAAGAGCCCCCACAGCCTGGCAACATCCCCCATTCCCTATTCATCGTTTGCCTTATCCTCTGTCTCAGAGTCACATAGACTCCCCAGTGACATCACGTGCACCTGTCCCTGTGTCCCTGCCTCCCAGACCCTTCTCCCCCATCTCTGAGCACCAAGATCGCACTCACTCTTCAAGCCTGTCTCACATGGTGCTTCCTTTTGGCTGTACACAGACCCCTACTGGCACCATGACTAGCCATATTAGGTCTTTCCCCAGCAAAATTCCCTGGGGCAAGATATCCAGGCTTACCCACCTCTGTCCCCCAGAGGCAGGCGCTGCGGCCGGCACACAGCAGGCAGGTCGCAAATATGGGTCACATTGAAAAGAATCTTCCCCTTCGGTCTCTGCTACAGGCACGTGCCGAGTGCACGCTTTCTGTCTGACTTATTCACAGACTACTTTATAGAAGGGACAGCTCAGATCTGATTTCTTCAAAGCATTTTCAACAGTTTTTACATTGATTTTAATGAAATTTTTCAAGTGGTTTTAATCCTACCGACACTTTGCTTCTTTGTCAAAGAAGGTCACTTTGAACAGCATCTATGGACGCGTTACAGGCTGTGGAGTTTCAAGAGGCAAGTGTTCTCGGGCTCAGGAACACCCCAGGCAGCCAGCTGTGCTTTTGAGTCTCATCTCTGAGAATGAGTCGGTTTGCTCCTGTTAACCGTCCAGGAGAATCCAATCCTGCCCCTGTCCCTCAGCCCTTGCAATCACTCCATGGCCAACCCCTTGGGCTGGGGCGACAGAATCTCCAGCCTCCCTGTCCTCCACCTACTTCAGGGATTAACTTCACCCTGAGCATCCAACCACAAAAGAGCTCCTGCCCCCGATGAGTCCGATGAGATCGCCAGTGCTTCTCGCAGCTTCCAAGACTCATAACTTCATAGGAAAAATATTTTCAAAAAAAATAAATAATAGCTCAGTGAAGCACAAGGGACCCTTGGGAGCCCAGTCGGGACTTAAAATCATTGTCAACTGCTCTTTTCTGAACACAGAATTTGTCCTGGGATGTTAAATCCTAAGAACTGTGCAACATTTCTGAATGGTTTGGCATCTTCTCAGCTGGTTCTTCCCTCATTAACAAAAAAGCGGTAATAGCTACGTTTACTTTGGTGTATCCGCTGGCTGACCCCAAGACTAGCCTTTCTGAGGAGAAAACCAGTGCAGCCTGCCTTGGAAAGGAGTCAGCGGAGCTGGAAGGATGCAAGGGTCTGAAAGCACATCTGAGCTAGGGCTGTGGGCGCCTGAGGCCAGCCTTGCGGGACATAAACACCTCATCAGGCTCCATTAATCTCTGCAATCCCCCAAGGGGCCCTGACACACGGAGGTATTCGGTCACCAAGCCTGAAGGGCTTTGCCCTGGTCAGCCTGGGGGTCAAAGCGATTTGGGGGCCCCACAGATGAGTCACCGGGAAGCCTCTTCTCCCCCTCCATCCCACCAACCAGATCCACAGATGAGAGAATGAGTCACTGGGCCCCGTCCCTGCAGGGCCCTCGGAAGATGCAGCCCTCAGGCGTTCACAAGCACTTGCACACCGGCCCTGCCCACCCAACCCTCTCCTCCCAAGTCCACTTCTGAATCTCTCAAGGGAATAATCTTCACTTTGAAAAGAACTTTATGGACAAAGATGTTTGGCAACGCTTTACTTGTGTAATAATGTGAAACAATGTAAAATGAGTATAAAAGTCTAACTATGGGGACTGAAGTATTTTAAAGGCTTATAAAGAGTTTTTAGTCCCGTAGAAAACCGTCTATGTCATATACATTAAGTAACAAAAACGGAAACCATTTACGGTATAAATACTCCCCCAATTTTTCATTTATACATGTAAGGAAATATAGCAAAACACTAACAGTGGCTGTCTGCATAACACGATTTTGGGCAATTTCTTTCTCTCTTTTTGTTTATTTTATACATTTTCCACAGTGTCTTTAATGAGCACAATTGACTTTTCATCAAAACACATCTTTTAAAATAGCAAACAAAACATCCCATAATTGAAAACCCACTGTCCTCGGACAGTTTTTTATAAACAAATATCTTTTTTTTTTCCATCTATACTCCCCCTGCTTCTCAAAATGATCACAGTGGTTTATGAAAAAAAACATAAATAATGCAGGGCAAATAAAATAAGAATTAAAAAAAAAGAAATGAGCGAGGAAGAGCGAGATGGAACATCCACAGTCCGCCGCATTGCTGCAGAGGGCCCGACCCGAGGTTTCTGACGGAAGATCCTGCAGTCATCTTCCTCAAGCCAGAATTCGAGGCCCGGAGAGAGCATTTGATGACTTGTTTAACCAAGCTCACTCAGGCAAGGATGCACCCCAGGGCCCACACTCCTGTGGGCCACCGTCCATTGGATGAGAAGGAGCCCCAGGGCCTTGCATGGTGGACCTGCCTCATTTCCTCTGCCCCTCCCTTCCCAGGCCCTTGTGACCTCCCAACCCCCTACCACCACCTCAGCTGTCCAGTCCTGAGCCAGCACCCACGGAGGCTTGACCCCACCAGCCCTTGCCCCAACTCCTAGGACCCTGGTCTCTCTCCCACACCATGGACTAGTGATCCAACTGGACCTGGAGCTTACGTAGAACAGGTAATCAGGTCAGGCCCCGATGTCTCTGACTGGCTTGTACTTTCTAGCTGAAGCCTGGGTGAGGTGAGCGGGGCCTAGCGGACACCTCCTGCCATGAACTCCTCCAGTGGGTCTTCATGACTGATTTTCTCTGTCCACGCCGAAGGCACCTAACTCTTCTGGCATGGCCCTGTTTGCAATTCTGATGCCCGCTGTGGCCCCTCTCCCACAGACAGCACGTTTTGCATAGCATTTGGGGTTCTCAGGCCTTTTAGGACATTCTGGAAGGCGTGGACCCTGAAGTTCAGGACCTCTACGCTAGGGGCTACCTCTGCACCTGAAACTGTTCTGCCAGGCCCTGCATGCATCTATGGCACCCAAGTCCTGACTGCCCCTGCTTCCTGCCATGGAGGAGACAGTGGCCCCAAGGAACACAGCCAACAGCGCTCCACACCACGTCCCTGCCTGGCAACTCGGAGTCTCTGCCTGCAAGGATTGCCCAGGCCCCCCCGAGAACATCACAGGGCAACCTCGGAGAACAAGGGCGAGCAGCCATGCACTGAGTACCTCGACCCTGCCAGTCCTGGACCTAGGTCTTTCTGAACTCAAAGTTTTCCATCAGCCATGGCGTCTCTCCATAATTCATCCCAGAGTTGCTTCCCCAGAGCCTTCTAAAAATTAATTCTTTGCCTTTGCAAGCCTTTTGCCTCCTCTTCTGGTAAAACAGCAGAGTTGGGCTGGGGTCCTCTCCACATCTTCCAAATCTGAAGGGGATGCCCAGTGCCTACGGTGGCTACGTGTGATTGTGTCTGGGTTCAACCTGACCATCTGTTTCTATGTCCACAGAAAAAATACCTTGGTCCCATTTGAACTATGTGCTTTTAGAAAGAACAAAGAAAACAAGACACAACAAAACCCGGGCAGGAACAAGCAGACAGAAGCCAACTGCAGAAGTCTACATGCAGAACGGCTTGGCCTTTCCCCCAGATTCAGGTAACAGCTTCTTGGGATGATGCCAGTGAGCTGCGGTTCTTCAGGTTCACTGTCCTCTAAGAAGGGGCACTCATGGGGTCCCACCCACCTTGCCTTGACCACAGGCGGTCACCCTGGGTCAGAAGTAACAACAAAGCACAGCTCCTTCCGGGTTGGGCTGGGCCACAAACCCTCTGGTAAGGTGGCTGCTATGAAACTCTTTGTGGCACCTGGGGTTCCCCTGTGCTGTCGCCCATCCCTGGGGTCTTCAGGAGTTAGAAGGGGCAGTCAGGAAGTTATTAGCCCCAGCCTGTGGATGTCAGAGAGGAACCACTGACTAACTTAGAAATCGAGATTTCTAAAAATGACACTGACATTTGGGCCACTACTCTGCAGTGAGCCGTGGGCTCCAGGAGGGGAGGGGGGCTTCCGTCACTGGCTTTCTTCTTGGCTCCTGTCCCCAACCCTTTGACCAGCAAGATAGCCCTTTCCCGGGAATGGACAATGAGAGAGGCTGGTCCAACCAGGAATAGAAAGAGTGGAGGAAGGGCCCGGGAGAGAGGAAGGCAGGGAGGGGCCCGCCGCCCAGACCCAAAGGGCAGGCTGGGCCTGGGAGATCACAGGAAGAGCAACTCCCACAAGGAAAAGGAAAGGAGAGGCTGGGGTTCTGGGAAGGGACACCCCGCCAAAGAACACCTGGGGTGAGGGGAGAGGAGGGAATCTGGCAGGGCCAGGGAAGGCCGTCAAGAGCAAGCTGAGGATCCCCAAAGGAAGAGGAAGTACAGTAGGGTATGCCCTAAGGGAGACACAATTTTGGGTGCTTTTTCCAAGGGTCAAGTGTTACGTTGTAGACAAGGATGGTCTGCCCAGTGTCC